GAACATTTAATCTTAAATAAATCAACAATTGCAATTGATTTTATGTATTATATTATTTTAGTTATTAAATTAAAAATATAATAACAGTGATAATATAATAATAAATTTATTTATTATATTATCTCAGTTATTTAATTAAATTATCATACTATATCTCGGTTATTAAATTGTTAATGTAATAACAGAGAATCCACGTTTTATATATATATATATATATATATATATGTGTGTGTGTGTGTGTGTATGTATATATGTATGTATATATATAAAAGTGAACACTGAAGTCAACACTTAGAGGCGACAGGCTGTTTCATGCTAGACGCAATCGTCAGGTGGCCTGATGATTGCGTTTAACAGGAAACAGCCTGTCGCCTCTGAGCGTTGAATTCAATGTTCACTTTTATATTTACATACGTTCTATCTCTGATATTGAGCCCTTTACTCCATAAATATAGCACACCATAAGACTATATTTCTTCATATATATATATATATATATATATATAGTGTGCATTGGGGCAACAGATCATTATTTAAAAATATATTCGTTTTAACCTTCAGATATTGTAGTCCATCTACATTAAAAACGAAGCAGTCCACACTCAACAAAATTAAATTTCAAAATAGTCACAACACATTACATAGCATCTAGACATATGTTTCTGTTGTAATACTTCAGTCTATTACGTTTTATGACGTCATAGAACGGCATCTTGAACTTATGATCTGCGTCTGCTATTCCACGACCGTTATCATCGCATAGCAATCTTCTATGTCAAAATAACAAAATATCATCTCTGACGGTAGATATCTTTGTTCCATGTCTGTATGACCGCTGAGAGGATGGTTCATGTGAGCCGAAAGAAAGACCATCTTTTATATATATATATATATATTTATATATATATATATATATATATATATATATATATAATACGAATGTCATTGAGTGACACTTTTTTTATCTTTACTCATAGATGCTGTTGGCAAGCATATCATACCATTTTGAAATCAGGCCGACTCCGTGAGTAAATTGAAATCATTCCGGCCCGGATCCAATCCCGCAATGTTGGATTCCCAAGTTATCAATACTCTTCTCTAATTAGTATTTCAAAATAAAATTGTCCTTGTTTTCAACTTTACTCCCAGAGGCCGTAGTACGACATACACCATTTTGGAATCAGACGGACTCCTTGAGCAAATTAACTGATTTCAAGCTCCACCTTGTAGCTAATAAAGACAAGTAACCTAAAAATACACCAGCGTATTGCTGCTAAATTAATCGGGTAAATTTAGAATTAGGTTACTTTTTAATACTAGCAATTATTTCAAATAGTCACTTGTTTTTTTCTTCTTTCAGATAAAAATGCGACTACTAAACCAGGTGTCGTTAAACGGGGCGCTAACAACCCCCGAACAGTCGGCGAGGATTTTCAGGGAGTCGATGATAGTGAAGGGGTCAATGGGGTTCAGTGTGTGAATGACACTGAGCTAAATTTTAGTTAGTGTACATGTCTGTTGTATTCTTCGGTGCAGATAAAAGTAAGTTTTAAACCATCTTCTTTGGATACAGTACCTTATTAATTGGATATTTTTAGCGGTAATGTATTTCTGGTCAATAGCATGTCATGTATTTAGGCTTGGAGTACGTAATATACTATTTGTTCGATTCACTGGGGTTGTTTAATATATTTCCTTAAATATACCGGGTGTAACAGCAAAATTGTCCAAATCGACTTACAACGTAATTGTCCATCCCGCACAACGTTTAATATCTAAAAACAAACACTAAACTAATTGAGTTTCTTTTTTCCAGGTTTTCAGATAAGACGTTTAGCCATCTTGACACCATTTGCTTTAAGAATCACTGAAAAACTACTGAGTTATTCAGCTAGAAAGAGAACAGGTTAAAATTGTTTTTTGCCAAACCCACTGTCTTCCCAAATGAGCAATGCTGAGAGGAAAAGATCATTCAGGCCTTCAGTAATAGTACCAATATTCATACACTAGCTTACATCTTCAAAGTCCATTTAAGAACCCTCAAGACAACGGTGAATGTTTAAAAAGAAGGAACAGTGGAGAGGAAAACAGGATCAGAAGCTCACAGCAGTAAGAGGGGTCATCATTTCAACTTAGTACTAAAGAGATCAATTAGAAAAGATCCAACTCATTCCATAAGATGTTTGGCACGTGAGAGAGGAGTTTCACCTATGGCAGTCCAAAGAGCAGTGAAAAACACTTGAAAATGATATCGTACGTGAAACGTGTGAGCACAGTCTTACTCTAGGATAGAAGGTTAGAAAGTTAGAGAGGGCGAAGATAATCTTGAATAAGATTGAAAAAGATACTTAAAGGAAACATATTTACCAATAATAAATTACAAAGGGATCTTAATGCAAACAAATTGAAAAAGGAAACATATCCTCCTTGGGACTACCCATAAGGATTACCAGGTTTTTCGTTTTATATATATATATATATATATATATATATATATATA